TCCGAAAGCTTGTGATATCAAATAAAGCTGCTGGACTATAGCCTGGTGTCCTCTGATTTCTGAATTTAAACAGAGTTAAAATTGGGCCATATGTCTGTGGATCATTACTTCAGGCTTCGGCTTACTAGTCCAATGACATAACTATAATGGGTCTCTACTAAAATTAGAAGGATGTGATTTGTGTTGTACAACTGTGCTGAGCTCTCAGCAATTTATTATATTTAATATGATAAATAATGCAATACAGCCATGTACTCAAATTTGCCAATGACATAAAAATTAATGGCAAATTAAGTAGTGTAGACAAGCATAAAATTAAAAGGAACATTAAATAGAGATGATAGAGTAGACAGATTGAAATGCCAGTCAGTGAGAGGTCTTCATTCTGAACCAAAGAATGATAGATTCAAATGATGAAATGGTAGGGATCAGAGGGAGCCAAAGAAATTTGGAGGTCTTTGTACAGAGATCACTAAATTATACACGCTGGCAAAAAGGAAAATAGAAAAGGCTAATGGCAAGCTATCTTTTATAACAAGCAGCTAAAGAAAAGGAGCTTGAGCAGATACAAACTTAAAATCAGAGCCAGGCGATTCAGAAGAGAAGTCAGAACATAAGTGTTCATGCAAAGTGTGGTAGAAATTTAGGACTCTCCCGTGACATGAGCAAGACAGGCTAGTTCAATCAGTAATTCTGAGTTGAAAACAATATTTATTTTCTCAGAGGGTATTAAGGAATATGGAACCAAGGCAAGTGCACAGAGTCCAAGCCATTATTTCAGTGATTGCTGGAATAACCACAGGAGTCTGAACGACCTAGTACTGTTCTTAGTTCCCTGTAGCTCAGAGTCTGACTTAAATACTAAAGTAAAACATTCCAGCTCTCCAAAATGAGACCAAGTCTTTCACACGTTAAAAATGGTGGCAAGCAGGTATGCAGCTGGCTCTAGTCACACTTCACAATTTTTCATTTTTAAACACATCTTGAACCTCCCCTGCCCACCAAGCAGTGAGTTAATATCAATCCCAGAGTAATTTGAATAATTAGGAAGGATAACATGCATAATTAGGTGTAAGTGATTCCTTCATTATGCAATGGAGAACTTTTAGCATTACCTTGTCACACTGAGGACGAAAGAGATAACCTCAGGCCCTCATTAGGTGGAAGAAAACAGGGATTGTCTTTTTCCTCCACTGTGTGCCTTCAATAGTGTGAGACAAATCCAAGATCCAGAATAGAACCCACGCTCGCTGACAGCATGCATGGAAAATGATGGATGTTAAAACAGAAATCTTTGTATTACCCAGAGGAACATCTCCAAACATACCTTAAACTACAAATGGGAGATAAAGACAGCAAACCCAAAATCTAAAATCCCATTATCCCACAACTACAATATTTCAGCCTTCCCTGCATCTCAAGGGTCATAATTTTTAACCTTACATTTTTATTCATAGTCTGCACTAAATGGTAAACATCTAAAATCCAAATGAATATCTATTTTCTAGATAGAAAAGTGTTAGGCTCTTGACAGGGATAAAGAAATATGCTAATATGCAACAGTTCAGGCACATAGAGTATGCTTAACCCTATTGAGTCTAGGAAAAGGGGCTTTATTGTATTTCTGTTGTACATAGGAAACAGTCAGCCCCTTTGGGGTTAGAGATAGTAAGAACTGCAAATGCTGGAGTCAGATAACACAGTGTGGAACTGCAGGAACACATTAGGCCAGGCAGCATCAGAGGAACAGGAAAGCTGATGTTTCTTCAGAAATGGGTGGGGGGTGATGGTGTTGAAGGGATCTCCGAAATAAATTGAGAGAGGGGTGGGGCTGGGGAAGGTTGGTAGGATGGTGCTAGGTGAGTGCAGGTAGGGAGTGGTGGGGATTTGTCAGTGAGGTGGGAGGGGCGGATAGGTGGGAGAGAAGATGGACAGGTTGTGTCAGGTCAAGGAGGTGGGGATGATAGGGAGGGTTGGTCATGGGATGAGGCCAGGGGGCGAGAGATTTTGAAACTGGTAAAATCCACATTTAGGCTATTGGGCTGTAGGCTCGAGGCAGAATGAGATGCTGCTCCTCCATTTTCCGGGTGGCGTCATGGTGGCACTGGAGGAGGCCCAGGATGGACATGTCACCCAGGGAGTGGGAGGGGGAGTTGAAATGGTTCATGACCGAAAGGTGTTGTAATTTGTTGCGAACAGAGAGCAGGTGCTCTACGAAGCAGTCCTAAGCCTCCACTTGGTCTCATCAATGTAGTGGAGGCCACATTGGGAGCAGCGGATGCAATAGACCACATTGACAGATGTGCAGGTGAACCTCTGTCTCATGTGGAAGGTCTGTTTGGCGCCTTGAATGGAGGTGAGGGGAGTGGTGTAGGGGCAGGTGTAGTACTTCCTGCGATTGCAGGGAAAGGTGCCAGGGTTGGTGGCGCTAGTGGGGAGTGTGTTCAATTGAATAATAATTGGATCTGTACCTCTCCTTCATTTGATGTTGCACACGTTTCTTTGTGGCATTAATCAAGAATTAGATGGGGCTACTCTAATTATCTCAGAGATATTGTTCCATTGCAAACAACCCCGCATATATTCTTTAGTTGCATAATTGCACAGTAGAGAGAGTTATTTTACAGATGTAAGTGATGAGCGTCAGACAGCAAACCAATATTCAGACTTCCAGTCTCTCCTGTCAGTGCGGCATCTTGCTATAGTAAGTTCCAGGTAAAATTACCCTTGATCATCCAAGAATTATTTTCCCTTGACATGGTGTTTCCCCTTTGTATAACTATGCAGCTGTAGTAATTGCTGGCAACTGATAAATTTATAGCTGTGACTTGGTTAACAGTTGCTGACGTGCATAATGATATTTCTGCCCCAAGCCAAACATTAACTGATTCCTAAGCACATGTACGCCACAGGTTTATACAATTATTCTTGACTCCTCATATACACGTCATATGTAACATTTTGTCCTCTATTATCCTGCAAACATTAATTTCATCTGATATCTGTTGTAAAAGGAAAACAAAGATGATAATGGCTTCCATAAATGCAACATTTCTCACTTGGTACACTGAAGGCTAACGTGGCATAACACCTTTAAGTGGCCCACAGGTTGTAGGCAGAAACGTCATACTGTGATTACTTTTGGATCTAAAGGAAGAGCAACGTGTTTTGGATGCCTGCAGATTATTCTATAACAGATGGTAAACTGGGGCCCACGCAGCTGAAGGCACAGTCACGATTACTGGAGTAATGAAAATTGGAGCTATGACGGAGTGGAGAGGTCCAAGGCCTGTAAAACGGAGGAAGTTACAGAGATGGGGTGAATGAGACCAAATAAGGGCTTGAAAATAGCACCTTTTTCAGATCTGTCCAAGTGGAAAATGATCATCATCCACTAAAAACTGCCTCCCTTAGAGATAGGTATGCAACTACTCACATCCATTCAGCACAGTCAAAAGCTGTCTTCCCATGTTGGCACATCTGGTCGCAGCTGGGGTTAGAATTTTGGACATGACTGCAGTGCTCCCACTGGATTTCTGCACTGATTTGTCTTATCAAAATGCAACACCTTGCGCAACACCTTGCATTTATCTGAATTAAACTCCATCTGCCATTACTTGGCCCATTGGCCCAATTGATCAAAATCCCATTGTACTCTTAGACAACCTTCTTCATTATCCATCATAACACCAATTTTGGTATCATCCACAAAGGTACTAACCATATTACTAAAAAGCTATAGTCTCATCCAAATCATTTAGAAATGATGAACAACAGCAGACCCAGCACTGATCCTTACATCACACCGTTAGTCACAAGCCCTCAGTCTGAAAAACAACCCTCTACTACCACACTCTGTCAAGCCAATTTTGAAAGCCCCTGTCTAATACCATCACTGAACTTTAACTTGTGGACCAGAAATATGCTACTGAATTAAGGATTTTCCATCGTCAACACAAAAATGAAATTATTGGCAAAGAGCAAAAAAAAATAACTGCAAATCTTAACTCAGTCCACCCTTTGTGACTTGGGTTGTTGATCCACATAATTTGTTCCTTTTTGCTCATAGTTTCCATTCATGATATTTAGGCAGAACTGTGACATCTGTCCTATTTGTGAATTATTTGTGCATGTTTGGTATAAGTTATTTTGTTCACTTGTGGGATATGGGCATCGTTGGCTGGGTCAGCATTTATTGCCTATCCCAAGCTGCCTCTGAGAAGGTGGCTGTGAACTGTAGTCCATCTGCTAAGATACTCATACAACGCTGTTAGGGACAGAATTTGAGGATTTTGTTCCAATGATACAGAAGGAGTAGCAATATATTTCCAAGTCAGGATAATAAGTGGCTTGGAGAGGAACATAATTGCATTGTAGTATTTAATAATCTGATTTACCACTTGTAAAAGGATAGGTATTTTTATAGGAAGTTTTGCTTTCTTGTTTATTGATGAAACCTAGCATAAATTTCTTTTATCTTAGATATTGGTCAAATTCAGGCAAGTTTAACAATCTTAGTGTTTCAACTAGTCACTTATACATCTGAGACAGCCCATGGAATAGTGGGACTCAATTATCACTGCATTCTTCCCATCAGGATCTTGACAACATAAAGCAGAGGGTGACACAAATATCTTGTGTCGATATTACATAGAATACACAAGATAAATTGATAAAGACTTTGCACTTCATGGTAAGTTTTTTTTTAAAAAGTAAAAGAGCAGAGATTGAGTGCAGCAACAAGAAAACTGTAAAAACTATGTCAAAGCGGTTTGACAGAATTTTTTCTGCAATTGTTTCTAACAGTGATAAATGATAGACATGCAAAGATTGGTGACCAAAGCCACACTACTTCTCCAAGATAAGTTGAATGATAATTTGGCACAAGTCCAATTTGTTTTGTGGAAATTCTGATGAACGGAAACAAAAAAAAGACGAGAAAATGAAAGATGTCAACTAAAACTGGTCACTCATCCTCTTCTAAATGAATCTAACAATACCTTTGATGTGCTTCAATCTTATCTTCTTTATAGCCACTCCTTTCTTCTGCTGAAGTTTTGACCAAATTGTATCAACCCGCTTCACATTCATTTCCTGTTGCTTTCCTTCACGTTGGCTTAATAAATGCATCAGAACATCCAGTCGAATTTCCTGAAGCCTTAAGAAAAAGTGCAAGATAAAAAAGGACACATTTATTATATAAAGGGGGTAGCCAAACTTTTCACATGTGGGGGTCACATTTCAATTTTCTTTTTCCCCCTCAGAAGAATGGGCAAGCAAATTTCAGAAAGTTATGGTTTGCCACAATGATACACATGAACTCCACCAAAGGAAAAATTAAAAGTAATAAAGTGGTCATTTAAATCAATAATTAATAGCAATTACCACTAAAAATATGCCAAACACCAAAGCTTCATTATAGTCTTCAGCTGATTCGATTTGTGATATCAAGAAACTGTTAGAAGCACTGAATACCACAAAGGCCCGGACAACATTCCACCAGTAGTACTGAAGACGTGCTCCAGAACTTGATGCTCCCCTAACCAAGCTGTTCCAGTGCAGCTACAACTCTGACCTCTACCTGACAATGTGGAAAAATTGCCAAGATACATCTTGTACATAACAAGCAGGACAAATCCAACCCAGCCAGTTATTGCCCCATCTACTCTTGATCATTAGTAAAATGAGAGAAGGTGTCATGAGGGGGAAGCAATAGCCTGGTAGTGTTATCGCTAGACTATTAATCCAGACACCCAGCTATTGTTCTGGGGATCCGGTTTCGAATCCCTATTTGAATTCAATAAAAAAAAACTGGAATTAAGAATCTACTGATGACCAGGAAATCATATGGCTCACTAATGCCCTTCAGGGAAGGGAATCTGCCATCCTCACCCACTCTGGCCTACACGTCACTCCAGAGCCACAGAAATGTGGTTGACTCTCAACTGCCCTCTGAAATAGCCTAACAAGCCATCCAGTTGTACCAATCGCAAAAAGTTCAGAGTTAATGTTTCGGGTCCAGTGACTCTTCCTCAGAACACCGGACCCGAAATGTTAGATCTGATTTTTCCTTCACAGATGCTGCCAGACCTGCTGAGCTTTTCCAGCAACTTCTATTCTTGTTCCTGATTTACAGCATCTGCAGTTTTTTTGATGTTTATTAAGCCAGGGATCAACCCTGGCTAGGAGCAGCATCAGGGCACACTGGGAGATGAAGTATCAACCTGGGTGAAGCCTCTAAACAGGATTACTTGCACGCCAACATCATAAGCAGCAAGTGATAAACACAGCTAAGCGATCCCACGACCAATGGATCAGATCTAAGCTCTGAGTCCTGCCACATCCAGTCATGGATGGTGGAGGATGATTAAACAACTCACTGGAGGAGGCGGCTCCACAAATATCCCCATCCTCCACGATAGAAGAGCCCAGCACATCAGTGCAAAAGCTAAGGTTGAAGCTTTCACAGCAATCTTCAGCTAGAAGTGCCAAGTGGATGATCCATCTCGGCCTCCTCCAGTGTCCCCAGCATTACAGATGCTAGTCTTCAGCCAATTTGACTCACACCACATGATATCAAGAAACAGTTGGAGATACTGGGTACAGCAAAGGGCTACAGGTCTTGACAACATTCCAGCAATAGTACTGAAGACTTCTGCTCCAGAACTTGCCGCTCCCCTAGCCAAGGTGTTCCAGTACAGTTACAACACTGGCATTTACCCAACAATGTGGAAAATTGCTCAGGTATGTACTGTACATAAAAAGCAGGACAAATTCAATCCGGCCAATTGCCACCTCATCAGTCTAGTCTCAATCATCAGTAAAGTGATGGAAGATGTCATCAACGGTGCTATCAAGCAGCATCTGCTCAATAATAACCTGCTCACTGACGCCCAGTTTGGGTTCTGCCAGGGCCACTCAGCTCCTAACCTCATTACAGCCTTGCTTCAAACATGGACAAAAGAGCTGAATTCCAGGGGTGTTTTGGGAGTGATAGCCCTTGACATCAAGGCTGCATCTGAGAGTGTGGCATCACAGCTGCATTTGACAGAGTGTGGCATCAAGGAGGGACTTAGCAAAGCTGGAACCTATGGGTATCGGGGGCAACTTCTCTAGTGGTTGGAGTCTTACCTGACACATAGTAAGATGGTCGTGGTTGTTGGAGGTCAATCACCTCAGCTCCAGGATGTCTCTGCAGGAACTCCTTAAGGACCAACCATCTTCAGCTGCTTCATCAATGGCCTTCCCTCCATCAAAAGGACAGAAGTGGGTATATTCGTTGATGATTGCACAATGTTCAGCACCATGCTTGACTCCTCAGATACTGAAGCAGTCCATGTTCACATGCAACAAGATCTGGACAATATCCAGGCTTGGGCTAACAAGTGGCAAGTAACATTGGCGCCACACAAACGCCAGGCTAATACCATCACCAATGAAGAGACAATCTAACTACCAATCTTTGACATTCAATGGTGTTACCATCACTGAATCCCCCAATATCAACATCCTGAGGGTTATCATTGATCAGAAACTCAACTGGATTCATCACACAAACACAGCGGCTACAAGGGCAGGTCAGAGGCTAGGAGTATAGCGGCGAGTAACTCACCACCTGATTCCCGAAAGGCTATTCACTATCTTCAAGGCACAAGTCAGGAGTGTGATGGAATACTCCTTAATTGCCTGGATAAGTGCAGACCCAACAACACCCAAGAAGCTTGACACCATCCAGTACAAAGCAGCCCGCTTGATTGGCACTACATCCACACGCATCCACTCCTTCCACTAGCAATGCTCAGTAGTGGCAGTGTCTACTATCTATAAGATGCACTATAGAAATTCACCAAAAGTCCTCAGACAGCACCTTCCAAACCCACAACTACTTTCATCTAGAAGAACAAGGGGCAGCAGATATATGGGAACATCACCACCTTCAAGTTCCTCTCCAAGCCACTTACCATCCTGACTTGGAAATATATTGCCATTCCTTCACTGTCGCTGGGTCAAAATCCTGGAGCTGTCTCCCTAATGGCATTGTGGGTCAACCCACAGCTAGTACACTGCAGCAGTTCAAGAAGGTAGCTCACCACCACCTTCTTAAAGGCACCTAGGGACAGACAATAAATGCTGGCCCGGCCAGTGATGCCGAAATCCCACAAATGAATAAATTTTTGAAAAATGAACAGTACTATCAAGGAGCACCTATTTAGCAACAACCTGCTCAATGACATCCAGTTTGGATTCCAGCAGGGCTACTTATAGAGTCAAAGTTATACAGCACAGAAACAGACCCTTCGGTCCAATTCATTTACATTGATCAGAAATCCCAATCTGACCTAGTCCCATTTGCCAGCAATTTGGCCCATTTCCCTCTAAACCCTTCATATTCATATACCCATCCAGATGCCTTTTAAATGTTGTAATTGAACTTCCTCTGGCAGCTTGTTCGATACATGCACCAGCCTCTGCATGAAAAAGTTACCCCTCAGGTCTTTTTTAAATCTTTCCCCTCTCACCTGAAACCCATGTGCTATAGTTTATGGACTCCCACACCATGGGAAAAATGCTTTCACTATTCATCTATCCATGCTCCTCATGATTTTAAAAACCTCTACATAGGTCACCAGTCAGTCTCTGATGACCCAGGGAAAAAAAATCCCCAGGCTATTTAGCCTCTCTTAATAGCTCAAACCCTCCAGTCCCAGCAACATCCTTGTAAATCTTTTCTGCACTCTCTCAAGTTTAACAACATTCTTCCTATAGAAGGGCAATCAGAACTGTACTCCGTATTCCAAAATGGCCTCACCAATGTCCTGTACAGTCACAACATGACCTCCCAACTCTTATACTCAATGTTATGACCAATGAAGGCAAGTGTGCCAGATACCTTCTTCACCACCCTGTCTACCTCTGACTCCAATTTCAAGGAACTATGCATCTGCACTCCTAGGTCTCTTTGTTCAGCAATACTCCATAGGACCCTACCATCAAGTGTATATGTCCTGCCCTGGTTTGCCTTACCAAAATGTAACATCTCACATTTATCCAAATTAAACTCCATCTGCCACACCTTAGCCCATTGGCCCATTTGATCAAGGTCCCATTGTACTCCAAGATAACCTTCTTCACAATCCATTACACCACCTATTTTGGGGTCATCTGCAAACTTATATTCTACATTCACATCCAAATAATTTGTATAAATGATGAAAAGCAGTGGACCCAGCACTGATCCTTGTAGCACACCACTGGTCACAGGCCTCTACTCTGAAAAATAACCTCCACCACCATCCTCTGTCTCCTACCTTCAAGCCAATTTTGTATCCAATTTTGCTGAAGAACACAGACAACTTCTACCAATCTGCCTTGATCAATCTTCTTTGTCACCTCTTCAAAAAACTCAATAAAGTTATGAGACATGATTTCCCACACCCATAGCCATGCTGACTATCCCCAATCAATCCTTGCCTTTCCAAATGCATGTAAATCCTCTCCGTCAGAAACCCCTCCAACAACTTATCCACCACAAATGTAAGGTTCACCGGTCTGTAGTTCCCTGGCTTTCCTTACAGCCTTTCTTAAATAATAGCACCGCATTAGCCAATCTCCAATCCTCTAGCATCTCACCCATGGCTATCGATGATACAAATATCTCAGCAAGGTGCCCCAACAATCTATTCCCCTCATTTCCCACAAAGTTTTGGGAAACACCTGATCAAGTCCCAGGGATTTATCTACTTTAATGCCTTTTAAGACTCGAGCATCTCCTCTTCAGTATTATGAACACTTTAAGACATCACTATTTGCCCAAGCTCCCTAGCTTCCAAGTCCTTTGCCACACTAAAAACTGATGCAAAATATTTGTTTAGTATCTCATCCATCTCCTGTGGTTCCTTACATTGGTGGCCATGTTTGTTTTTAAGGGGTCCTATTCTCTCCCTAGCTACTCTTCTGCTCTTAATATATTTACAGAATCTCTTTAGATTCTTCTTAACTCTATTTGCCAAAGCTATCCCATGTCCTCTTTTGGCCGTCACGATTTCCCTCTTAAATATACTTCTACTGCCCTTATACTCTTCTAGGGATTCACTTAATCCCACCTCTGTCTACATGTGATATATGCCTCCTTCTTTTTCTTGACCAGAGTCTCAATTTCCCTAGTCATCCAGCATCCCCTACACCTACCAGCCTTGCCCTTCACACTAACAGGAACATACTGTCTCTGAACTCTCGTTATCTCATTCTTAAAGGTCTCCCACTTCCTGATCATCCCTTTACCTGGTAATAACCGCTCCTAATCAACTTTTGAAAGTTCCTGCCTAATACTGACAAAATTGGCCTTCACTCTTTCATCAGTTCTATCCTTTTCTTTAACTATTTTAAAAGTAGCAGAATTATGATGACTTGCCCCAAATTGCTCCTCCCACTGACATCTCAGTCACTGGCTCTGCCTTATTTCCCAACAAAAGGTCAAGTATTGCTCCTTCTCTAGTAGGTACATCCAAATATTGAAGAAGAATGTTTTCTTGTATGCACTTAACAAATTCTTCCCCATCCAAGCCCTTAACTCTGTGACAGTCCCAGACTATGTTTGGAAAGTTAAAATCCCCTACCGTTACAACCCTATTTTTCTTACAGATATCTGAGATCTCCTTACATATTTGCTCCTCAATTTTCAACTGACTATTAGGGGTCCTATAATACAATCCCAACAAGGTGATCATCCCTTTCTTATTTTTAAGTTCCACCCATATAACTGCACTGGACGATCTCCCAGGAATATCCTCTTTAATTAGTCATAATGTTCTCCCTAACCAAAAACGTCACTCACCCTCCTTTCTATCCTTCTATCCTTCCTATAGCATCTATACCCCGCAACATTAAGCTGCCAGACCTGTCCATTCTTGAGCCACGTTTCTGTGATAGCTATGGTATCCCAGTCCCATGTTCTCAACCCTGCCCTAAGTTTATCTACCTTACCTGTCAGGCCACTTGCATTTATCAGTCTTATCTCATATTCTCCCAAGCTCTTGTCTGTTTTGACTATCAGACTTTCTCCCTTTATCTACTATACCAGCCTCAGCCTTATTTCTTTTCTCCTCAATGCATTGGTTCTTGCCCTCCCTTACCAGTTTAAAGCCTCCTGATAGCAATAGCCAATTGTCCCGCAAGGCTATTCCAATTTAGATGGAACCTATCCCTCTTATACAGGTCATTTCTGCTCCTGAAGAGATCCCAATGGTCCAAAAATGTGAATCCTTCCCCCCACCCCTGCACGAGCTCCTCAGCCACGCATTCATCTGCTCTATCTTCCTATTCCTACTCTCACTAGCACGTGGCACCAGTAGCAATCCAGATAATAACTACCCTTGAGGATCAACTTTTTAACCTTCTGCTAGTTTCCTGTATTCTCTCTGCAGAACCTCATCACTTTCCCTACCTATCTCACTAGTACCAACATGCACAACATCTCCTGCTGGTCACTCTCCCCTTTCAGAATATTCTGCGTCCTCTCCAAGATATCCTTGGCTCTGGCACCAGGGAGGCAACACACCATCCTGATGTCTCGCTGACGGCTGCAGGAACGTCTGTCTGTACCCCAGACTAGACAGTCCCCTATTACATCGATCGCTTGGAACCTGACATACCCCTCAATACAGTAGAGCCTGTCAACATACCAGAAACATGGTTGTCAGTGCTATACTCCCCTGAGAGGCCATTCTCCACCCCCGCTTTCACTATCCAATTCATCAGACCTGTTTGAAATGGGGATAGCCACAGGAGACTTCTGCACTACCTGGCTACCTCTCCTACCATTTCCCTACTTCCTGACACTGCAATCCATCGTACTCCCTTGCTCTTGTAAGCTCCTTGTTGCCTCCAACTGATGCTCCAACCGATCCATGTGGTCTGATAGGAATCGCATCCAAACACATTTCCTGCAGACAAAGTCTCCATATGCATTCAAAATCTCCCTGATTTCCCACATCTGATAGGAAGAGCACATCACCCTACTAAACCAATTCTGCCCTTTTAACAATTTACAGATCCAGAAATTACCATAAAAAAAACACATTGCTCAAAATGCAGTTTAAGCACAATCTTACTGCTCAAAAACACTGTTCTCGGTTAACTTTATACCAATGCTTAACACTAAAGGTCAATCAAGAGACAGATCACAGTACAAACATATGGAAAGAAATGCTCTCACCTTATTCACTATTATAGATTTACAAAAAAAAATTAAGATCTAGAAATTTTATAAGTCTTAAAATCAAACACTTAGGTCCTGACCTCATTACAGCCTTTGTTTGAACGTGGTCAAAAAAGCAGAATTCCACAGGTGAGGTGAGAATGACAGTCCTTGACATTAAAGGTCACATTTAACCAAATGGCAAAACTGGAATCAATGAGAATCAGGGATTGGTGATGGCAGGTGGTTGGGGGCAGGGTGTTGGCAAACTTTCCACTGGTTGCAGTCATAACTGGCACATAGATAGATGGTTGTGGTAGTTGGAGATCAGTCATCTCAGATCCAGAACATCTTTACAGAAGTTCACCAGGGTAATGTCCTAGGCTCAACTATTTTAGCTGCTTCATCAATGAACTTCCCTCCATCATAAAGGTCAGAAGTGGGGATGTTCAACACCATTTGCAACTCCTCAGATACTGAAGCTGTCCTTGTTTAAATGCTACAAGACCTGGCAATATCTGGGCTTGGGCTGATAAGTGGCAAGTAAAATTCGCACCACATAAATGCCAGGAAATGACCATCTCCAATAAGAGACAATCTAATTACTGCCCTTTGACATTCAATAGTGTTACCATCACTGAATCCCCCATTATCAACATCCTGGGGGTTATCATTGATCAGAAACTCAACTGGACTCACCACATAAACACAGAGCTGATTCCCCAAAGCCTGTTCACCATCTCCAACATGCAAGTCAGGAATATGATGGAACACTCCTCCAGGTAAGTGGAGAGTATAACTCCAACTATACTCAAGAAGATTGACATTATCCAGGACAAAGCAGCTCACATGATTGGCACCACATCTACAAGCATCCACTCCGTCCACCACCCACATTCAGTAGCAGCAGTGTGTGCAATCTAGGAGATGCACTGCAGAAATTCACCAAAGATCCTCCGACAGCACCTTCCAAACCCGCAACAAATTCCATCTAGAAGGGCAAGGGCAACAGATAAATGGGAACACCACCATGTACAAGTTTCCCTTCAAATCACTTACCATCCTGACATGGAAACATATTGCCCTACCTAAACTGTCGCTGGCTCAAAATCCTTGAACGCTCCCTTCAGTGGCATTGTGGGCGTTCCCACAGCAAATGGACTACAGAGGCTCAAGAAAACAGCTCGCCACCACCTACTCAAGGGTAACTAGAGACAGGCAATAAATACCGGCCTGGCAGCAATGCCCATGCCTGACGGCTGAATAAAAAAATTTCTACCCTGTCCACAACTCTGTGCATCATGTAAACAATTCCCTTAACAAGCGTAAAATAAATCTGATTATTTTTGGTACATGGGTTGCCCACTCAACTAAAGCGCTGTTGCAGCAGGATATCCTTAAATGCCTACTTTTCAATTTCTTGTTCCCGGAATGCCCACTCATTTCTTTCCATTGCCTCCATCATCCTCTTCCTCTTCTCAAGTTGTGAGCGATCACTCAATGGCGGCAGGGTAGCTTCCCAAGCACGCTTTGCTCGTGCACGTTCAATCATCTCCACTTCTGCTAAGCCTGCTGGTAAGCCTCGGCCTGCAGTCACAAGAAAATTTAATTAAAGAAAATCTTAAATATCAAAGCTTCTACACATGTTGAAGAGTTTGTATGATAAGATCTCCTCTTTGCTCTTTGGAAGCCTAATTTGCACTTATTTATACAACACTGTACCCAAGTTGTATCAATATAATTTGCATGGAACACAGGGTAAGAGATGTTGTATTGTCTATTTTGCAGATCAGAAACATCTTTGTGAAACATATGCCTCGTACTTTAGAATTTATGACATATATTTGGTGAGTTTATACCACAGAGGATTACTCCAAGTGAATGCTAAATTTGGATTCACTTTCTTCAGTACATTTGTTCAGAATGTCTTTCAATTTAAATAAGCCTTCAAGTAGTTAAACTGCAGTTCAGAAACGCATTATGTAGCATGCTTCTCAAATGCTTCATATTGTCTAGGACAGCTTATTCCAGCAGTGAAAAGATACTTGTCCCACCTGTACAGACTGCACCAATTATTGCAAGTTTCACAGTCTGACATTTTTTCCACACTTTCTTTCTTCTTCTCTCCAAGCCCTGTAGTTATAATAAAACATTATAGGCAGGCTGTGAAGAGAAAGAAGAAAGAAAATAAAGGTAAAGAGAAATAGAGGAAAAGATCATTGTTATAATGTTCAGCATTAACATGTCAGCATTCACAAGGCAGGAATGCATAGAGCTTTAGAATGAACTACTGTTTAGACGAATAAGAAAGTTACAAGCTGATAGTAATAATTCATCACTGCCTGTCATGTTAGCCTAAGAGGGTTAAATTATATAGTGATTGGAGAGGTGTCTGAAAAGTTACCCGAATGTGCGATTTCAGTACACCAGATATAAAATTTAGATTTCCCAATCAGTTTAGAATTAGAATTAATAAATGTAATGTAGGACTCTTTCATAGCTCAGGTCAAAGGAACAAGAACCAATGCTTACCTCCATAACTTTAGACAAACATGTGTATGCAATGTTGCTACTAGCCTCATCCTTCATTAATTTATTTTCTTTTCTCATAAATTTTCTCTCCACCTCTCTTGCTTTTATTAACTCCTTAGTGAACAATAATTACAGATATATCAAGTGCCTTTTGCTGTCTAGCCCAGAGGAGCATTATTTATTTGTGATCCCAACTGGAACTGTTCGAAAGCCAGGGAAGTGTGTAGATATCACAGCCAAGTTTAATTCTATCCACACTCAAAGGTGAACTATATGCACAGCCAGCCAGAACCATGGAAAAAGCAGTCAAAAGCAGAGCTGTCCCTGTAAGCTAACTGTTGTTTCAATTCAGTAAGCTAACTCAACGTAAATACAGAATCAATCTTAAGAGCTTCCTAATCTGTATGGCTCAATTATATACCACATGAAATCAATAGGCTATCTACAACTTCAAACATTAAAATATGTCATTTTTAGTTTTGATGGTTTACTTTATTCAACGACACACACTAGTTGCTTTTAAATCAAAACCAAGTACTCTTCCCATTTAAAGTTGCATCAGTAATGGTGCATCAAGTTACATTTCTTCACTTTATGCTACACATTTGATATTTACCGACTGACATGACTGCATTGCAACAATAAACAATCGGCATTATCAGAAATCAGAGTTATAAAATGAACTGGAAGCTTAACAGAGCAGTCACCACACTATACAGAGATGTGAAAACATCATTTAAAATGCATGAACTTTCATGGGGTAAAAACAAGTGTCCTTAAAAAATTTTTCTGATGTGCATTATGGACCACTCTCTAGTCAGTAAATTGAGTATTAATTATAAGTGAACAACCAGGAGTAATTACTTCCATCAACTTTGCTTATTATAACTGAATAAGCAGTTTTGATTGCTCCTCAAATGATCAGACTTTAGTACATTGTATTTTCAAGTTGATCCAGCTTATATGACTCACCAAATTTCAATGCAGCAAGTGTAAGGAGTTCAGGAGCTGAGCCAGGCAGCACAACATATTCTGGAGAGTATGGTTCAGTTTGTGTTTCACTGTCCCTGTAATCTGTTTGCACACCCACTGTCCGTATAGGTAAAAATTGATTATCAAAACTTGTAATGTTGTTTGGAGTGCCACCCCTTAAAACAATTACAGAAAATAAAGTTAAGAACAGTCATGACAATGAAAAGAAGTTACCTCCATTATATTGATTTTAATGGTGCATGCTGTTAAACCCAGAATGGAAACAAACTTTTACAGGTAACAGTTGGCTCTCTAGATCCTAGATGACCCAGGCTCTCTTAGTGACAGACAAATGTTTCCCCAGTTCATTCAAGATAAACTTGCATTCTTACAGCACTTTACAAAACCCAGGATATCCAAAAATGTCATGCAGCTCATTTTTGAAGCATATTCATTGTTTTAATATACAGAAATATAGCTGGCAATCGTGTATAATTGCAATCAAATAAATGAAAAGATAATCTGTTTTATTTTAATAATGTTGTTCGAGGATACATGGTGAGCAGGACACAGAATTTCATTAAAATTAAAGCAAAATACTGCGGATGCTGGAGATCTGAAATAAAAGCAGAAAGTGCCGCAGAATCTTAGCAGTCTGACAGCATCTATGGAGGAGAAACAGAGTTAATGTTCCAAGTTCAATATGGCACTTCTTCAGAACTCAAACGCCTTTAAAGAGTAACTGGACTTGAAATGTTGACTCTGTTTGTCTCTCTACAGATGCTGACAGAATTGCTGAGGTTTTCCACCACTTTCAGTCTTTATTGGACAGAATTTGCTTTTCTTTAAATAGTACTCCAAGATCATTAATATCCAAACTCAAAGAGGTGACTGGGTCTTGATTGAATTTATCACCTGAAAGATAAAATCTCCAAAAGTCCAGCAGTTCTTCAGTACTGCATAGAAGAAGCAGCATAAACAACATACTCAAGTCCCAGGAGTGAGGTATGAACCCACAATGTCAGACAATGGCATAAGCCTTGCAGTGAGGTAAGGCTAACAAATACAGGCAAAACTCCACAAGAAAGCGATAACTGCAGCAGAAGTTAATTCCCTCCTGTGACAGATTTGGTAGCAGGGTACTTAATATGTAAGGAAGGTAGCGCTTAGGAACTCCAGCATATTCACACCTTTGTATTGATCAAGTCAATTGAAGGAGCTTAAATGGATAGCCTTGTTGCAACACCATCCATTGAGACCTTTACTTAATGGCAGTTGGCCAGCAACAAGATAGGGACTTGCCAGGCAGGAAATCCAAAAAGCAAACCCTGTCTGCTTGTGGGTGTCCAAGGAGGGTAGTCATTTACTCAAAAGCTACAGTGCCTGATTGAGGGAAGCAGAAGCCTGAGAGCTACCTTCCTCTGATCCTTTCCCCTCTGCCCTCACTCACAAATGGACTGGATCCATTGGCAATCCTGGGCCTCTGATGGGTGAATTATTGGCAGAAGCCACTACTGCCCTGAGGCACTACTAAACAATGAAGGCGGTGCCTTTGACTGGCTGGCAGCTCCTGGCAGATAAGTCTTTCACTCCTTGATTCTGGGAAGGCCCACAATCAGGCATTAACTACGATGGATCTTCCTGAAAAGGATTAACAAGGGGGTTCTCATCTGCTTTCTAGCCATAAGTGACATCAGCTAGAATAAATCCTTCCCTGTGTTTTTCTCCTTTAAAAGGAGAAGATGAGCAACCATTTCATTCGTCTGCTGGAAGACTGATTGTTTGCATCTCTCCAAGGATAATGTGTTAACATACTGTCACACTTTCCCTATTAAGTTCATTTTCTATTATCATTGTATTAGCTATTAAAGTAATCATAAGAATTCATTGCTGATTTTTAAAATCTACAGCATTTTTAAAGTTTGCACCAACATTCTTGTTAGATTTTCATTTTAAAGCAATGTCCCATTGATGTATGAGTCAGCATGAACTGGCCAACCTTGACAGCTTTGTTGTAAGTAGCAATTCTTCATGTCTGAGCTGAGACAGTAGACATGGGATACTGTTCAGCTGTGGAGTATAGCATAGCTACACTTGATGTTGTGTATTTGTGGGAACAGGTACACTTTCCAGATTAAAAATACTGGACAGCAATCAGGTTCTTATAGTAAATTAAGATTCTTTTTATATCTAACGAATTCAGGATAAGTCAGCTTAACAGCAATGATGACAAAGTTTTTAGAGACAGCATCAAGAACAATCAAGAGGGAAAGAAGGTAAGACTGCCTCAGAGAGAGAGTTTCACATAAATTGGATTTCGCAACATCCAAAATATAACTTCAATGTGGGATCTAATCTGGTTTACAAAGTGTTCAGGACCTATCTGGAGTTAAGTAAAATATTGAGAGAACAATGTTGCTTCTATTGGGGCCCTCTAAATATTTTCACTTTAAGTTTTGCAGAGGACCCTGTCCAAACGTTACTACAGTCAGCTAACATAAAAGCCCTTTCCTGTAATTCCCAACACTACAATTGTCCAAGGCCTTTATGCTCTCCCAGTTCAGGGTCTTGCACATCCCCTAATTTTAATCACTCTGCCATTAAAGGATGCATCTTCAGTTTCTAGAAGTTAAATTTTCAAATTCCTCCACTAAGCCTTTTAGTCTCTCTACTTCCCAGTACTCCTTTAAGATGGTCCTTAAAACTTTAACCACGCTTTTGTTAGAATCATAGAATCCCCACATTGCAGATAGAGGCCAATTGGCCCATTGAATCTGCACCTGCCCTCCAAACAGCAACCAACCCTATCCCTGTACACCATATTCACCATAGTTAACCCACCTAACCTGCATACTACAGGCAATTTAGCATAGCCAATCCCCCTAACTTGCACAGCTTTAGACTGTGGGAGGAAACCTACACACACACATAGGGAGAATGCGCAAACTCCACACAGACAGTCGCCCATGGCTCGAATCAAACCCAGGCCCCTGGAGCGTTGAGACAGGAGTGCTAACTGCTGTGCCACCCTGCTGCCGTTTAAATTTCATCATCTGCTGTGGTCAGGTTGAACTGCCCCCAGAGCATTAGCCTCAGCCTTTGCATTGCTAATCCAATGACACCACCACTACACCACCAGTATGTAGAATCCACACAGAATGGAAAGAGGCCACTCAGCCCATCAAGTACTCACTGACAGTCCAAAGAGTATCCCACACAAACCTAACCCTTCATCCCTATCCTAGCTAGTACCACGGCTAATCCAACTAAATTGCACATCTTTGGACTATTTTAGGAAACTGGAGCACCTGATGGAAACCCGTGCAAACTCCACGCAGACAGTCACTCAAGACTGGAATCGAACCTTGTCCCTCGCACTGTGAGGCAAAGTGTTAAACACTAAGCCATCATGCCACCATGTTCACTGACCATTGTAGAGCACCAATACTAAAGTATAGCTGTAGCTTAACCAAATGAACCAGCATGCAGTAGTGGAAGCACGAGTTTAAAGGCAATAGCTTAGCATAGGCTGGACTGGCATGAGGAACTACATGCAGACAGAAACCAAAAAAAAAAGGTTACAGCTACAACCACACAAGATGACATATCACAATACTCTAATGGGCAGGTGATTTGATGAAGAAATACACCATGCTCCAGACATGCGAGTGATTAGATCAAGAGGTAGTCTGACCAAATTATCCACAGTTAGTTAGTACAAAGTGACCAGAGACATACTAGGGTATGAAATAATGCCTTATCATATAAAAGAGGAAGGAACAAGCATAGTGATAGTAAGAACCTGGCATCAAAACATGTAAGAAGGAAGGATGACCCCAAGTCAGGAGCTCAGAGAGGATAGTGAGAACCTAGGAGCAACTATCGATCATAGGCCCTAGGCCAGAGAGCCAGGGAACAGGAGTACCCTCTAGACTAGAGTCTAATCACCTGTTTACTGGTAGCATTCTGTGCAAGAAATAAGGCTTCTACATTTGTGATTCTAATAAATAAATAGTGTAGTATAACTAATATTGCCTCTAGGTATTTACCTGATCACTGCCATTTCACTTTATGCAAATAAATATTAATAAAAATAACAACACCCTGTTATCTGTTTGTGTGACTCAGTACTAAATTATGTCTGATATCCTGAAATCCCTCCTTTAAAGCACGTGGGGATGGTTTTGCTCTGTTAAAGATGCTATGTAAATGCAAGCTATTACAGCAGTAGCAGAACTTCACTTTAATCTATAATTCATAAATAGAATACGAGTTAAAACCAATGCTGAAATTAATAAATTTGGTTCAGTAACAATTTCCATTCTGAAGACATCATATCAGATTTAAAACATTAACTGTTTTCTTTATCTATAAATGTTGCCAGACTACGGAGTTTCTCCAGCACTTTGTTTATTTTCCAGCATCCACAATATTTTGATTTTATTATTCAGTCATTTTCCTTCCCAACAGCATCCTCCATAAAGCAGGTTACATGCTGAACCAAAGTTTATCATTAAGGTCTATAAAAAGGTAATATGAACCTACTTGGATACGTCCAGAATTGCATTCACGGGTAACTGTTGAACAAAAGGAATAACAGGTCTGTAAAGCAAGAGTAAAATATTATTATTAATAATTACAATTTAAGTCTGATATCAATCGAAAGTCATTCTTAGAAAAAAAACGACTTCAAAAGATTTCAAAGCTTTCTCTTTCATTGTCTCCTGCCACTGAATTTCTTTGTCCAATCAAGAGAAAAGAAACAAAAATATTCTCTTTGACCTCAATCAATGTACTGCAGTCTGCAACCATAAGATAATAAGACATAGAAGCAGTGATAGCCCTTTTGGCTTATCAAGTCTGTTCTGCCATTCAACGTGACCATGTTTGATTTAATAACTCTCAACTCCACTTTTTGTGCATTTTCCCCACACTTACCCCCTCAACTCCCTTACTGATTACAAACCTGTCTATTTTAGCTTTCAATATACTCAACAACTCAGCCTCTACAGCACTCTCAGGCGAAGAATATCAGATTCACTACTTCCAGAGAAGAAATTCCTCCTCATCTTTGTCCTAACCGGGTGATCCCTTACTGTGAGATTACATCCTCTGGTCCTAGAGTCTCCGACAAGGGGTAAACAATCTCTTAGCATCTACCTCTACCCTGTCAAGTCCCCTAAGAATCTTGCATATTTCAATAAGGTCAATTCACACTATTCTAAATTCCAACAAGTACAGGTCTAACCTGCTCCACCTCTCCACATAAGAAAATCCACCAAACTTAGGATCATCCATGTATACCTTCTCTGGACTGCCTCCAATATTAATATATCTTTCCTTAGAGAAAGGACCAAAACAGTTTACAGTATTGTAGAAGTGGTCTAACTAATGCTTAGTGTAGTTTTAGCAAGACTTCCCTATTTTTGTACTCCATTACAAAATAAGGCCAACATTCCATTTGCCTTCCCCATTACCCACTGAACTTTTCATAGAATCTCTACAGTGCAGAAATAGGCCATTAGACCCATCGAGTCCGCACCAACCTTCCAAAGAGAATCCCATTCACACACAGCCTCCTACCCTATCCCTGTAACCCTGCATTTACAATGGATAATCCATCTAGCCTGCACACTACAGACAAACATAGCATGGATAATCCACCTAACCTGCAAATCTTTGGACTGTGGGAGGAAACCGGGGTACCCAGAGGAAACCCACGCATTGACAGGGAGAACTTGTAAACTCCACACAGTTACCAAAAGTCTAGAATTGAACCTGGGTCCCTGGTGCTGTAAGGCAGTATTGCAAACCAATGTGCTAGGAGAGTAGACCACGCAACCCTTTGAGCCTGCTCTGCCATCCAGTATTATCATGTACTTGATCCTTTTGGTGATTTAGGCATGCGGACCTCAGATCCTTCCGTATAGCAGCTTTCCGCAGTCTTTCTCAAATTAAAATAATATTCAGCGCCTCTATTTTTCTAGAGAAAGTAAATAACCTCAATTTCTCACATTACATTTCACCTGCCAACTTGTTGCCCACTCAATTAATCGGTCTACATTCATTTGTAGGGTTTGTGTCATCCTCACCACTCGCCTTCCTGCCTATTTCCATACCTTCTACAGGACCCTACTCCTACCCAGTGTGGGACAATTCCCTCTGGAGCAGGGCAGAGGCCCTTAATCAGTTACTTAAGTGGGTCACGGGCTCTCTGTTGGTGGCTGATCTGCCATTTTCTCAGCCATTACATTATTAAATCACATTGCCAGTATTTCTGCCTCAGTCTCCAAACAGCTCATACAATTTAGCCTACAATGTCTGGGATGCTAGTTCAGTATCATAACCACCATATTATTGTACCTTATATTGGTGTTAGCTTCTTTTATAAAATGTGACAAATATCAGTTCATCAGACATATCACTGGTTTGCGCTGATAAAGAAGTGTCTATAAGATTATCAATTAAGTGATTAATAAAGACAGTTTAAACATTTATAGTTTCCACCGTAATTTAGAGCAGAATCTTCTTAGCCCTGAAAGAAGTGGATAATGGCAAGCTAGTTAGAAAATACTGAAAGATTGGAAAAATTAGCTTCTCAATGTAGAGTGAAAAAAAAAGACTGATTTTCAACACAAGTTTTCACAGCAAGCTGAGAATCTCACTAGTGAGTGGAGAGAAGTCTATTTGCATTTTTTTTCTTATTCATTCAATGGATATGGGTGTTGCTAGATAGGCCAGCATTTATTTCCCATTCTTAATTGCTTAGAGGCCAGTTAAGAGTCAACCACAGCCAAAGATACTAGACAGCAACAAATCCCAACATGAAAGTCTAAGCAGGTACCTGGTGGCTCCAGATTAGATCAAATATTTTAAAAAAGCAAAAACTTACTAAAAGGAGGGAAAATTAGTGTACGAGAGAAAATTAGTCAAAAATAAAAGAACAGATAGGAAATTTTATTTTCAGATAAGAAGAGTTAATAAAGTTAGTGTTGATCCTATAGTAATGGAGGATAAGAAAATGGCAGATGAATTGAACAGATATTTTGCATTAGTCTTCACTAGAGACAATACAAGTAAAATCCTGGAAATAGCTATAAATCAGGAATTAAAAGGTAGGGAGGAACACAAGAATACTACAATTTCCTGGGAAGTAGTACTGAGTAAATAGGTGGAAGTGTGTTGAGAAGTCCCCAAGTCCTTCTGTATTTCATCCTAGAGTCTGAAAAGAAGTAGGAAGTGAGATCATTGATGCGTTGGTCTTAATTTTCTGAAATTTATTAGATTAGGGGAAGGTTACTTTATTTGGAAAATGGTTAACATAATTCCTTTAATCAAAAAAAATGGGCAGGTGCCAGAAAGCAGGAGTCTACAGGCCATTTAGCTTAACATTTGTCACAAGAAAAATGTTAGAAGCTATTATTAAAAACATTATAACAGGGCAGGGCGTTGGTTAGCTCAGTTGGCTGGACAGCTGAATTAAACTGTCTTCCTCACTTAGAGGAGGCATTTGGCCGGTATTAGCATTCCTGCTGCCGTTTCACCCTCCCCGCCAGGTCTGGAAATATCAGGTTTCATCTGGTGCAGCGTCTTCTCTCAATCAGAAACTCTGCTGGAGCTATCCCTTTTGCATGTGGGGTGGTCGTATAATCAAACAGGAACTGGGACAGTTTGGTCTCAATTGACACTGTAGGCTGCTTCTTTAAGCCTACCATTAACATTTGGAGGCTGTTTCTGCTAGACCATTGGACAACGGATGGTATGGAGCTGTCCTTATATGCTAAATGCCATTGGACTTTAGGAAATATTCAAATTCCCTGCTGGTAAATGACATCCCAATATCCATGATGAATACTTCTAGGAGTCCATGTGTCATGAATGATGCTCGCAGCTTCTCAACTGGTATCCCCAAGTTTGCTGAACCAACTTTAAGCATGTCCAATCACTTTGAATGGACGTCCACAACAACCAGGAACATTGAGCCCATGAAAGGACCAGCAGAGTCAACATGCAACCAAATCCAAGGTTTACCCGGCTGTTCCCACTAACATGGAGGCACTGCTGGTGGAAATTTTTGTCCTTGTTGGCACTCTGGGCATTGCCCTATCAACGCAGCTATGTCAGTATCCAATGCTGGCCACCAGACATAGCTTCTTGCTAGCATCTTCACCTTGGAAATCCCTGGATGACCCTGATGGAGCTCAGCCAATATCTGGCAGCAGCCTTTACTTGGGGCAATCACCCTTGCTCCCCACAGTAACATGCTGTTCTCTACAGTGATCTGGTCTTGCTAGATCCAAAAAGGCTTCCATCCTGGTTGCAATGACCCTTCTGTATTCCCTATTTCCAGCTGTTTCAGTTTCGCTAGGACAGGATCTTTGTGGGCACACTCGGATTATTGTCCAGAGTGACTGGAAGGGTGTCGAGGAAGTTTAAAACTAGAATGGACTCTTCCGGGAGAGGTACCACTGGTGGAGTATCTGCCAGTGGGAGGCAGCTCAAGGCATCCACATTAGCCTCTTGGCTTCCGGGATGGTGATCTAACTTGTACTTGTATGCACCGAAAATAAGGGCCCAATGCTGAATTCTACCGGAAGCTACGGACGGCTCCGCCTTGTCTTCCTTCAGGAGCCAAAGTGGTGTGTAACTATGACAAATTCCCTTCTGTAAAGATACTGGTGGAACTTCCTCACACCAAAGATAACCGCCAAACCTTCCTTCTCAAACTGAGCATACTTGCATTCAGCATCAGCCAGAGTCCAGGAAGCATATGCTATCAGGTGTTCCTCTCCGTTGGACCATTAGTGAACCAGCACTATCCCGATACCATACAGGGAGACATCGCATGTCAGCACTACTTTGCTCTTCAGATCGTAGTCGGCCAACACCTTAGATGACAATAGCTGCTTTTTTACTTTCCTAAAGGCTGCTTCTTGGTTTTGCAACCATTTCCAAGTCTGACCCTTTTTCAACAGCAAATGTAAAGGTGCCAAGATGGAGGCCAGGTCATGTATGAATTTTCCGTAACAATTCACCAGCCCAAGGTAAGACCCAGACGCTGGTACAGACATGGGAGCCAGGGCTCCTTTAATCGCCCTCGCTTTCTCTTCCAACAGATGCAACCCGGTTTTGTTAGCTCTGTAACCTAAGTTGGTCACTTGGGTCACCTGGAACACACATTTTTCCAGTCTAAGATGTACACTCACCTGGGAGAAACATTTGAACACTACGTCCAAGTGCTCTTAATTGGTTTTCCCTGTTATTAATACATTGTCCAGATAAATGGCAACAAATGGCCTTTGTAAAATGTTCTCCATGGTCCACTGGAAAAGAGCTCAGGCTGATGACAACCCAAATGGCAGTCTTGTATACTGATATAAACCTTTATGGGTATTAATTGTAGCATACTTCTGGGACTCCTCATCCAGTCACAATTGCAGGTAGGCATGGCTCATGTCTAGTTTTGTAAAGGACAGCCCCCCTCCAACTTTGCATACAAGTCCTCTATGCGAGGGATCAGGTATTTATCCAGCTGTGAGGAGCAGTTTATTGTTTGCTTGAAATCTCCACAAAGGCGAACTGAGCCATCAGGCTTCACAATT